ATCTTATATAGGCATTCTGTGTTATAAATTTATCTCTAAGTACTGCTTTAGCAGTATTCCACACTTTTTGATATGTAGTGTTTTTATTTTCATTCAGTACAACATACTTTCTAATTTCCATTTTGATTTCTTCTTTCACCAATGAGTTATAAGTACCTTAGTTAGTTTTACATATGTGTGAATTTTCCAAAGTTCTTCCACTTATTAATTTAAATTTAATACCATTGTGGTCAGAGAACATACTCTATATGACTTAAATCCTTTAAAATTTATTATCTTATTTTTTTGCCCTAAATATAATTTATCTTGGCAATGTTCCACATGTATTCTGCTGTTGTATAGTGGAGTAGTCTAAAAGGCCAATTTGGTCAAGTTCATTAACAATGATGTTCAGTTCTTCTAAATCCTTCTGATTTTCTGACTACTTGTTCTATCAATTATTGAGAAAGTGTATTAAAATCTCTTACTATAATTGTGTATTTATTTATTTTTTCTTGCAATTCTACCAGTTTTTGCTTCATGTAGCTCTGCTGGTAAGTGCATAAAGTTTAAGACTGTTATGTCCTCCTGATGAATTAACCCTTTTATCATTATAAAATTACTGATGGAGGGTCAATCAATGTTTAGGTACTTTTTTTTTTTTTGTCTTTCGTCTTTTTCCATGTCCGGCAACGGATCGCAACCCTCAGTGTTGCCCCCGTACCGGACCAGGGACCGGGAACGGGATTGCAACCCTCGGCGTTACTCCCGCGCCTCGCTCAGCCAGTGAGCGGGAACCGGTCTGTATGTGGGATCCGAACCCTCGGGTGGGAGCGCCGCCACGCTTCCCAAGCAGCGCACTATCCAGTGCGCCACCGGGCCGGCCCTATGTTTAGGTACTTTTAATCATAGTAACACACTAATGTGCTTTAAGATGCTTGACATTAACACTAAATGTCTCAGAAAAGCAACTGAAATACAAATATCCATAAGGCTTTGTATTTTGCCTAGCACACAGGAGGCTGTCTTAGACTGTTTTGTGTTGCTATAACAGAATACCACAGACTGAGTAATTTATAATGAACAGAAATTTATTCAGTTCATGGTTCTGGAGGCTGGGAAGTCCAAGAGCATAGCACCAGCACTTGGTGAGGGCCTCTGTGCTGTGTCATCCCATAGGAAAAGGTGGAAGGGTAAGTGAGCATGTGAGACAGAGAATGGGGACGAGAGCTTCATCCTTTTTACTAGGAGCCCACTCCCACAGTAACTATCTCGGTCCTGCAAAATTGGCATGAACCCACTCATGAGGGCAAAGCCTTTATGACCTAATCACCTCTTAAAGGTCCCACCTCTTAAAGCTGTTACAATGGCAATTAAATTTCAACCTGAGTTTTGGAGGGGTCATTCAAACGACAGCAGAGGCCTTCAATAAATACCTTTGTAATGAATGAATAAATTAACTATATAGAAGGCTTTGATTACCTGGAGTCTCTATTGAGAATTCCACATATATCATAAATAACCTTCAACATCCCAGATATTAAAAAAAAAAAGGATATACAGGTACATAATAAGAGACTCTAATAACCTTTGTAAGTTTATCATAATTTTTTAAGGTAATGCAAAGTAAGAAAGTAGCTAATATTTGGAGTATTTACTAACTTTCCCTCTGAGCACCAATTTTAAAAATACAAATCAATTTCAAGATTTATTGTATACACCCATATCGTTAAATAAATCTTTGCTGAGCTATTAATTGCTCATTTTTGAAACTCAGTTTCACCAGGTTTGATTTTCACAGTTGTAATAAATTCAGAGTGAAGATGAAAAACATACATAGTGGCAGTTTACATTCCACTAAAATACCCTTATGAATCATGTCTACAAATCAGTGTTTTCATGTTATTTCTAATCAGTGTTGGCTTATGCAACATGCCACTTTCAGAAAGAATTTCAGGCAGAAAATAACACTGAATAAACATCAATTCTATGAAGAAAATAAATTTTCTTCTACCATATTGTTTCTTTTATTTATGAAAGCAAAGATGACAATGAAATAGTGGCCCGACAGACCATTTGTAGTTTTACTTTATATCTTTCAGCATAATTCCTGATCCTGAGTTAATAATTTACTCTGTGATTGGTTATTAGATACATTTCCAGTTCATCGTTACCAATTTTCCAAGCATTGAAGTCTTTGAATAGAATCCTCCTTTCATCAAATGAGAAAAACCTTCACAAACACACTTTGTGGCTAGCACCAACAGTACACTTCCAGTGCTCCTTCAGAACATTTAAAAATCAATGTCTTCCCTTCCTTTTTCTGCTCTTGATGAATTATAAAAGCAGCTCACATTTTGAGATGCAAAAATTAAGCACAATAATTGCTGTATGGCTTCATTGCACACAATTTTTGATTGTGTAAGGATCCTGATGGTAAGACATGTTTAAAAGATCTTTAGTTCAGTTCAGCATGCATTTATTGAACTCCTACTGTATGTCAGACACTGTGCTAGCCCATGGCGATACAAAGATGAATGAGGCAACTTATTTATAGTTAAAGAGCTTATTGTCTAGACTAGCAGTTTTCAGTTAAATTCTCAACACACTTTTGTGTTCTAACGATTGTGAAGCGTGCTACAAATAGTAATGTCCATATGAGTGAAGGCATTGTGTTCTGTTATTTGCATTTTATAAAATAATCCAGAATAGTGACTGCTATAATAATTTTACTTTCACTCACTTGCTTTCTAGGATGTCATGATACAATGTTAACCAAAATAACCATGATGAAACGGTATGTATAACATATCCTAAATTTGTTTAAAAAATCATATGGACAAATAAGGAATTAATGTGAATGAAAGTAACTAAGGTAATATTTAAATTATTTAGCACACAAATGGTTAACAGTGGTTCTCTTCAGGTAATAGATTTCCATAGTGTCATTGAAAGTAAGTATTCAAGACAATAAAAGAAGATTTGTATATGATTAATTATCAAGTAGATACTCCAAACATAATTATCAAAGGAATTCAGAAGAGGGAAGAATTCCTTCAAGCTGGAATGATCACAGAGGACTTTATGAAGAGGATGTGTCTCAAGGATGGACGACTACTGCAGGGAATATGGGGATGTATTCAACTCTACACTAAAAAGCTAAAAAGACTGAAATCAGGTTTGACTTCACCATACTCACCTACACTGATTTTCACTAAACATACTATTCCAGGTGTATGCAGATCTGCACTAGGTAGCTATCTATTTCTCCCTATTATAATTTAGTTTATGCAGCTTGGGATCAAAGTAGTCTTTTGGCAGCTTCATTATGCTAATGACTCACACTGAGCTTGCATTCAATTTAGCTCTCAAATCTGTTCCTCTCACAATGTTGTTGAGAAACATTTCTCCCACACTGAACCAGGGTAGTTGTTTTGCTGAATTTCAGTGTAGGACTTTACATTTACAAACTATTAAATGGCATCTGCTGGATTTGGCTGAGAGTTCCAGACCACTGAGATCTTTTAGGCTCCTGACTCCAATGACTAACAAACACATTTACTACATCCTTTCGAAAGCCTCATCCCACCTGAAAGCTCGATGAGTGGGCCATTTGGTCATGTGCCAGTTATCAATTTCTTGCCCATCAGGTCCAAATGCACCTTCCCTACCTGCTTTGCAATAATGGAGCTGAACCTTGTAAATATTTCTCTTTGCTGGCTAATACAATGTTAAGCTTTTCCAGCAGAAGGTGCTGGAGAAGGAAGGGGTTTCTCTTCCTGATGGCAGTTTGCTCCTCTCAGCAGGCTTCTGCAGCACATGCGTTGATAGCAACCACCTCCTGCAGTGTGTGGTGGCCAGCAGCACACAGCACACTCCAAGGGCAGATTTTCTGCTATCCACTTGGGTGGCTTCAGAGAGTAGTGTTACCTGTGTGGCACCTCCTGATAAAAGACATCCCTGGCAGTTTCCCCTAGTACTCCAGAAGGCAGATTCTCAGCACGTCCCTAGCAAACTGCTCTGCCATTGCAGCACTCCTTCCAAAAGGATCTGAAGCTCAGCCTTGTCACAGGGAATCTTCCCAGGGGTGGTGGCTGCTCCTACTATCTGCTAGTCCCCTATTCTGTAGAGTTCTTCTCACCTTTAACTAGCCAGTTCTCCATTATTCTAATCCCATCACAGTTAATTCTTTATATTAAACTTTCCCTGTACAAATTATGTGTGTTTTTGTCTCCTGTTTGGACCCTGACTGATACAGGTCATTATTCAAACTATTGATAAAAATCTTGCTGGGACAGAGATAAGGACAAAGTCACCCAAACCTTCCTGATATATAATAATCTATTTAATAAGGCAGGAAATTTGGTATTAGAATATGGAAAGAGTCTCATAAAAATGTCTAAAAATATAGATTGTGGAGGCCATTTACAGGGGGAGATGATTCTTTAGAGAATTTACTTTCACGTGACAGCTCGTCCATTCTTGCAGCTCCCTCTGCCTGGAGCAGCTGCCTCTTGATCTTCCCATGCTGGCTCTTCATCGTTCAGGTCTCAGTTCAAATTTCAGCTCTTCAGTGAAGCATTCCCTGACATCCAATCTCAGTTAGCTTGTACTCACCCCTCCCTTTACCAGTCTATCTCTGCAACATCCCCCAGTTTAATTTCTTTGTTACTTATATTTACTTGTTTGTTGTCTGCTTTTAACTTAAGTTCCAGGAAAGAACTGTGTGTATCTCCCCAACACCTAGGTCAGTGCCTGACACACAAGGGGTGCTCCATAAATACTGTTGAATTGAGAGAATTTCTCCATGATCTTAGATAAATGAGATGACATGTTATTTAAGGAAGACACTTAACGATGCTATAAAGATTTTACACTTGTGAATTATCCATCAAGGGAGTAGTTAGAGGTTTTATAAAGGACAGGCATTTTTAGAATTAACACAAACTTAATGAAACCAAGGGATAAAGTCTGTAATCCCCAAATACCAAATGTAGTTTGTATATTAATACACTACTTACCAATTTTGTTTTTTCCTTCTTCATACTTTATTCTTTGTAAAATGTGATGCACAATTCTACTTCTCGTGGCATTGTTGAAGAAAGTCTCTTTGTTGTGTATGATGAAGCTACACATAAATATTGAAAACACAAGTCGAGGATTAATTGGAGGTTAGGAATCTAATCTTTGTTGTAATTTGGTGTTGCTCAGATAAAGGTATCTTAGATCATAGAGACAATAATAGAGAGGGTGTGTCTGCGACAGCATGAGAGAGCCCAGAGATCACACCAGAGCAGTAGGTTTACAAGCCTGAATAGTTTGGGTTCTCAGAATTCTAAGCATTAATATCATTATGTCAGGAAGGAGCTGGAGCTAAATAAAATTAGAAAACCCTAAAACAAACTAATAGAAAGTCTAGGTTTTGTATCTTGTTTTTTCTCAGTAAGGTCTTTAGACAAAGTCAAGTAAAAATTCATTTTGCTTTTATCTCCTCTTGACATCTACCCCACCCACTCCTATGTTATTACCATGTGGTTTTGCAGGAATTTTAAGTTCTGAAACTGGTTTGGGTGGTGGATATAGGAGTTAGGTAATGAGCTCTGGTCTGGCTCAGGGGTGAGGTGAGAGTCCAGTCTATGGAAATCACCTCTTCCCTCCATCTCCCACATTCTTTCCTGGATGGGACCCTTCTTGTAAAGCATACACTTAAGATTGTTCTCTCTCTCTCAGCCAGTGGTCCAGCCAGTCTCCAAAGTTTATCAAGGGCTCACACACACATACACACACACATGCCACAACATTCGGCTTTCCAATAGATGTTCCTACCCTACTGAGAGATTTTCTAGCGGGTATCTAACAGATAGAGCTTCCAGGGCCACATAGTCCACCATGAAGTAGCCATGACTTACCTTTCCAGGAATGTAACAAATGGTAGAATATTAGAAATACTGGAAGTATAATTGTTTCATAAATTGTAAAGTTTATCAACTCAGCAAACTTTTATTGGGTACTGCCTAAAAGTTGGACACTATGCAAAGGCTAAATGTTGGTAGCCATCACCCCCCAACCTGTCTCAGAAGTCACCCCCTCCAGCCAGTCTTTCCACCCCTCTAACTGCACACCTGTCCCCAAAGAATTCAGCACTCCCTCCTCTGTGCTATTTCTTATCTGGCAAGCACATCAATTCACTTATCATTCTATCTTGTCATTTATTTGTTTCCATTTGTTCATCAAATATTTACTGAGAGCACTCTGTAAGGTACTGATTATACAGCGGTAATGAAAACAGATAAAATCCTTGTCTTTGAGAAGCTTATAGTCTAGTGGGGAGGACAGATCATAAAGGAAACGAACATGATCATAAGGCAGAGAAGGGCAGAATCAACCTTTTTTTCCACACTGAGACTGTGAGCTCATTCAGGACAAAAGACTGAATCACAACTTCTGTCGCCTTAGAATTTATTAAGTAGCTAGTACATAGGTATTGAGGGTCATGGGGGTTTATGTTGGAAAAATTACTACTGGGCTTCTGGTCAAGACGGCGGAGTAGACGGTTCCTAGCATTGCTCTCTCCTCCAAAGCAACCAATTTGCAATTATTAAAAAGCAACAACAGGAGTCCCAAGAACCACGCCAGAATAGGCAGGAGCCACCTGCTGCAGGACCCCCAGCCCAGGTCAGTGCCTGCCGCCCTGAGAGGCCTGAGAGCTGCTGGGCCCACACGCCCTGAATCAGCCACACAGGAAAAGGCTGGCACTGCAGGACCCCAGCCTAGGCTAGTTTCCACGGCCCAGAATTGGCAGTCCCTTCAGGATCCAGGCCAGACATCAAGGTGGAATGAGTGGACTGACATACCCCTGCCACAATAACTAAACGCCAAAGGAAAGATACCAGAAACATGAAATATCAAGAAAGTACATCACCACCAAAGGAAAATAATAACTCTCAAACTCTGGATCCTATAGAACAGGAAGACCTAGAAATGACTGACTAGGAATTTTGAGCAACAATTCTAAGGAAACTAAATGAGATACAAGAAAACTCAATTAGACAACACAATGAAATGAGAAAAAATGTACAGGATCTGAAAGAAGAAATGTACAAAGAAGCCAATGCCCTGAAAAAGAATGTAGCAGACCTTGTGGCACTGAAGGATTCATTCAACAAAATACAGAACACAACAGAGTCTAACCAGCAGGCTAGAATAAGCAGAGGAATTTCTGACCTTGGAGACAGGCTGTTTGAATTAATACAAGTGGACCAGGAAAAAGAAAAAAAGAATTGAGAAAATTGAAGAGAGATAACAGACAACCTTAAGTTCTCAAATATCTGAATCATGGGTATTCCAGAAGGGGAGGAAAAAGGAAATGGCATTGAAAACATAGTCAATGAAATAATAGCAGAAAACTTCCCAGGTATAGGGAAAGTCACAGATCTTCAGATTCAGTAGGCCAAAAGATCCCCAAATGTATTCAACCCAGAAAGGTCCTCTCCAAGACATGTTATAGTTAAACCAGCAAAACTCAAAGACAAGGAGAGAATTTTAAAAGCTGCAAGAGAGAAGTGGCAAGTCACCTATAAGGGAGCCCAAATGAGACTAACATCAGAATTTTCATCAGAAACCCTGAAAGCCAGAAAAGAATGGGATGATATATTCAAAACACTGAAGGACAAAAATTGCCAGCAAGGAATACTTTACCCAACAAGGCTTTCCTTCCAAAATGAAGGATAAATACTTATTTATCAGACAAAGAAAAACTGTGGGAGTTCAGTACCACATCACCAGCCTTACAAGAAATTCTCAAGGAAGTACTAGGTTTGAGACCACAAAAACAACTATCATTGCCATGAATACTCAAGAAATAACAAAACCTGTCAGTAAAACAAAAATGCTAACAATAAAAAGAAAAAATAGTTTACTTACCACCCCAAGAAACCAACAAACACAGAAGACAAACAAAAAATCAGAAAGAAAGGAACAAAAGATACTTAACACATCTTAAGAAAAATCAATAAAATGCTAGGAGTAAATCAGCACCTTTCAATAATAACTCTAAATGTAAAGGGATTAAATTCCCCACTCAAAAGACACAGACTGGGCCGGCCCGGTGGCGCACTGGATAGTGCGCCGCTTGGGAAGCGCGGCGGCGCTCCCGCCCGAGGGTTCGGATCCCACATACAGACCGGTTCCCGCTCACTGGCTGAGCGAGGCGTGGGAGCAACGCCGAGGGTTGCGATCCCGTTGCCGGTCCCCGGTCCGGTACGGGGGCAACACTGAGGGTTGCAATCCGTTGCCGGACACGGAAAAAGACAAAAAGACAAAAAAAAAAAAAAAAGACACAGACTAACTGATTGCATTAAAAAGATGGACCCAACAATATGCTGCCTTCAAGAGACTCACCTCACCTGTAAAGACATACATAAACTAAGAGTGAAAGGATGGAAAAAGAAATACCATGCAAACAGAAATGAAAAATGAGCTGGAGTAGCTATTCTCATATAAGATAAAATAGGCTTTAAAGCAAAAACCATAAAAAGAGATAAAGAAGGCCACTATATAATGATAAAAGGATCTATCCATCAAGAAGACATAACAATAATAAATATATATGCACCCAACATCGGAGCAGTCAGATTTATAAAGCAAACGTTATCATATCTAAAGAATGAGATAGACACTAACACCATAATCGTGTGGGACCTCAACACCCCACTCTCAACAATGGACAGATCACCCAGGCAAAAAATCAATAGAGAAACACAAAATCTAAACAACACTTTAGACCAATTGGACTTGGCAGATATCTACAGAACATTCCTTGCAACAACCTCATAATATTCATTCCTCTCATCAGCTCATGGAACATTCTCCAGGATAGATCACATATTAGGTCACAAAGCAAGTCTCAACAAATTTTAAAAAATTGGAATTATTCCATGCATTTTTCCAATCACAATAGATTAAAATTAGAAATCAATAACAAATGAAACTCTGGAAACTATACAAGCACATGGAAATTAAACAACATTCTACTTAATGACAGATGGGCCCAAGAATAAATTAAGCAGGAAATCAAAAAATTTCTTGAAACTAATGAAAATAATGACACATCATACCAAAACCTGTGGGATGCTGAAAAAGCAGTACAAGGGGGAAATTTATCACATTAAAATGCTTACTTCAGAAGAATGGAAAGATGGCAAATAAACAACCTAACACTTCACCTTAAAGAACTCATAAAACAAGAACAATCCAAACCCAAAGTTAGAAGATGGAAAGAAATAATTAAGATCAGAAGAGAACTAAATGAAATAGAAACCCAAAAAATGATACAAAAGATCAATGAAACAATAAGTTGGTTTTTGAAAAGATAAATAAAATTGACAAACCCTTAGCAAGGTTAACTAAGAAAAGAAGAGAGAAGACCCAAATAACGATAATTAAAAATGAAAAAGGTGATATTACAACTGATACCTCTGAAATACAAGGAATCATTGGAAATTACTAAACAACTATATGCCAAGATATTTGAAAATCTGGAGGAAATGGATAAATTTCTGGACACATACAAACTACCAAAACTGAGCCAAGAAGATATAGAAAATCTGAACAGACCAATAACAATAAAAGAGATTGAAGCTGTTATCAGAAGGCTCCCAACAAAAAAAAGCCCAGGACCAGATGGGTTCACTGCAGAGTTCTACCAAGCCTTCAAAGAGGAACTGATACCAATTCTCTACAAACTATTCCAAAAGATTGAAACACAGGCCATTCTCCCAAATTCATTCTATGAGACAAACATCACCCTGATAACAAAACCAGACAAAGATACATCAAAAATAGAAAACTACTGGTAAATATCCTTGATGAATATAGATGCAAAAATCCTCAACAAAATACTAGCTAAGAGAATACAACAACACATACACAAAATTATACACCATGATCAAGAGGGATTCATCCCAGGAATGCAAGGTTAGTTCAACATATTCAAATCATTAAATGTGATACACCACATCAATGAAAGCAAAGACAAAAACCATATGATCATCTTTATAGACACTGAAAAAGCATTTGACAAAATTCAACATTCATCCATGATTAAGACTATCTATAAGTTAGGTATAG